ATAGAACCCTTAAAATTTACACATTTTATATTACATGATAAAGCCTCACATAAAAATATTTATGGCAAAGGTGAAATTTATTTGAATTGCACCATTAATATTTGCCAGTATGGTGTTCTATGCTAAATTTGGATGAAGCAGCAATTCACCCTAAAGAGATTAATGAGTGTCCTATTAACTAGGAGGGGTAGTGATTAAGTGAAACTCAATTAATTAACCAAATCTTAAGTTAGGAAGCCGATCAAAGTAAACAACATAACCTAATCCCCATTCATGAGATGATAGATAGGGCTGTTGGCAATTAGCGAATAATTGAAAGTACATACATAGTGAATTGTGTTATTTGATAACCGATATCATATATTGTATTAATGGTTCATTTTGTTCAAATTATCTGGATAGTTATGTTGTGTATTAGACAGTTAGAGGTATTAAAATAGTTATCATAGTCTTTAGCCTTTTCTCCTATCTTTGTGGTATGTTACGGGTATATAAACCCTCTCTGTAAACCTTCCATCATTCATCATCAATATATTAATTCAGAGTTAATTCCTTAATCTGGTATCAGTTTAAAAGCCTCTGTTCCAATGGCCACATCAAACCACAACACCCCACCGACCTCCGCTGACTCGCCGGCGGCAGCCACAACTCAGGTTATCACCGTCGTCCCTGTCCCGGACACACCCTCTTCTAATATGCTTCAGCAAGCCCACCATTATGTTTCTATTAAGCTGACCGTCACGAACTATTTGTTCTGGAGAGCGTAGCTTGTGCCATTTTTGCGTGGCCAAAACTTGTATGGTTTTGTCGACGGCACCACCGTTTGCATTTGCTCCATCTCAACTAAAAGCTTAAGCTGATAGTTGGATTCCAAGCTAAATCGTACCTTTGGTCTGGCTCTGATACCAAATTGAAGCATGTGCTCCATCTCAACTAAAAGCTTAAGCTGATAGTTGGATTGCACGTTAATGGCTATATGCTCACAGCATCCGTATGCACCATGCATGGTGCATACGGATGCAAAAACGACGTCGTTTTATTAAAAACGCGCGTCTCCTCTTAAAAAAAAAAAAATTCAGGTTCGATTCCCAGCAACAGCATTATGTTGTTCATTTATTCTGAAATTTTAGTTCATAGATTATGGAATTTTAGTTCATCGATTCTGGAATTGTAGTTCATCGATTCTGGAATTTTAGTTCATAGATTCTGGAATTTTTAGTTCATAGATTAGATTCTGGAATTTTAGTTCATAGATTATGGAATTATAGTTCATCGATTCTAGAATTTTAGTTCATATGTTGTTGCTGAGAATCGAACCTGATTTTTTTTAAGGGGATACGCGCGTTTTTAATAAAACGACGTCGTTTTTGCATCCGTATGCACCATGGTGCATACGGATGCACAGCATAATTTGCCAAATTATCTAACATTACCTAGGTAATGTCAGTATAATAATATTATTATATTATATAACCTTGTATAATTGGAGTTATTAAAAAATTATATTATTGACATGTCAACTTTGAGGTAATATTCAAATTAAGTAATGTGATTACTTACATTTTTTTTTTAGTTATTCTTACCTCGTATTATTTTTCAATATTTCAAATTTACCTTTATCAACTAGCGTTTATAAATTATAATTATAACAACAACAACACCAACAATAACAACAACAACAACAACAACAACAACAACAACAACAACAACAACAATAATAATAATAATAATAATAATAATAATAATAATAATAATAATAATTGATTGTTATTAATGAACCAAACTCATCACCATAACTTGGATAACGCAGGGAAAACAATGGTATAATATCCACAAAGCTTGGCAAATTATTCTGTGAACTCGGGTCTAAAAATACACAATTTATATACTGAATGTTCATAATTTTTATATACTAAATGTTTACAATTTACCTATTGAATGTTCACAATTTTATATACTAAATGTTCACAATTTACATATTGAATATTCCCAATTTAAATTGCGAACATTCAATATGTAAATTGTGAAGATTTATAATATAAAGAGATTGTCTTTTAATCCGAGTCTACTTTGTAAGATGGACCCGGATCTATGGCATAACTTTCGACAAAGCTTAGGCTCTAGACTGCCGTAATTGGGTTACAAAGAATTAAACAAATACAAGGAATAAGGGACTAAGCCCACTGGCCAAACTGGACAGATGGCCTACCAAGCACACCTCTAAAGTCTCCAACTAGTGCATTCCAAGTCCCACATTACATCAATTTAGGCAGTGCAAACCACTTCCTTTGTTTAAGTTGAGTGGAGGCTTGAAACGACAAATCTAGCATCTTACCATCGCAACATGCATGAATTGATGCGAAAATACAAAAAAATAAAGCTCGTCTTATTTTTGTTATTAGTCATAACTTATGGTACGTGTAATTGTATGCGATTAATTGATATTAAAGTAGCTCGAGCTATTGTAAAGTAGCTATGAGTTATGGTATTAGAGTAGGTCAAGACTAACAAGTGCTTGAAGGAGAGAGGTCAAGTGCAATATCTCGTCATTAAAATATGGTGTTGACCACCACATAATAATAATAATAATAATAATAATAATAATAATAATAATAATAATAATAATAATTTATGAATAGTTAAAATTTTAAATTAAAACTGACAATACTTTAATTAAGGATCCAAAACCGATTAAAAAAAATCATTATTGGTCCTAGATTTATAGGTGACAGCTCATTTTTAGTATATATATATATATATATATATATATATATATATATATATATATATATATATATATATATATATATATATAGAACAACCCTTTTGGTCTTGACAATTTATATCATGGACCAGGGTTGATATAGCATTATGGACCCTAGACCGAAACAATGAGGTGTAGAATTTCATAACACAAGACACAAAACATTAAAACACAAGACACATACACATGTTATATATTTACTTATTTTTCAAATCTGATTTAGGTACATAATTTGTGTATATAGGCACAGAATTTCACAACACAAGACATAAATTCATAACATTAAGACACAATTACTAACTTGTTTCAAGTTCAGAATTCATATTCTTAAGGTACAGAATTTCACAACACAAGACACAAAAACTCATAACATAAGACGCATAAGCATGCACCATGGTCCACAGTGCACTGTGAACCCTGATCCATGGTATAACGATTGTTTGATCCTAGTATTATTGTAGTATAATCATTTTTGGTCCTCCATCAATAAAACCATTTAAATGCCATTAAATATAAGGGCATTTATGTCTTCAATTAGGAACTTTTTCAAAAAATTAAAATTAAAATTAAAATGGAATAAAAATATAGTGGGTCAACCCCCTTTGTATAATAAAAGATTAAAATGTCAATGTATTTAATGACATTTCAGCGATTTTGTTGGCGAATGATAAAAGAATAGTTATGACACAATAATATTAGGACAAAAAAGGATGTTCTGAACCAAAAAAAAAAAAAAAACAAAAAAAAATGTGAAATGTGAACTATGACAAAAAATGAAATTAATTCAAACAAAAAAAACTACTCCCTCCGTCCCATTTTATGTGTCTTGCTCGGTTAACGAGGCTTGACTAGAATTATTTTTAATCCAATTTTTATAATATTAAGTATAGTATTAATATACAAAATTTATATATTTAGAAACTATACTAAAAGTACTATTAAACACAAAAAAAAAATTAAAAATTAAAAATAAGTAAAAATAATAAAGAAAATGAACAAAAAAGAAAGAGTTGATTTGACTAATATATAGTAAGTAGGACATATAAACTGCAACATAGAGAGTACTTTATAGCTTCATGAATTCACAATCAACATTTGTTACGGCACATTGGCACAAACATGGGACGTTATGCCATGGAACCGTGTTCACCATGAATGGTGAACATGGTTCCAACAGTGTTAGTACACCGTTATTTTCTTCTTTTTTTTTTCTTTTTTTTTTTAAATTAATTGTGTGACTTTTCTTCTTTATTTTCACATTTTGCGGTTTCACTTTAATTTGAGGTGAACAAAGATTTCGGACATTCATAAATTATGAATTCATGCCTGCACATTCACTTTGGAACCATGCCTACACATTCCCGTCCGAAATCACGAACATTCATAAATTATGAATCCATGCCTGCACATTCACTTTGGAACCATGCCTACACATTCACTTTGGAACCATGAGATTATGAATTTTTTGTTATAAGATTATGAATTTTCTGTTATGAGATTATGAATTTTCAGTTGTGAGATTATGAATTTTCTGTTATGCGATTATGAATTTTCTGTTATGAGATTATGAATTTTCATAAAATTCATAATCTCATAACAGAAAATTCATAATTTGATCAAACGCGCGCCGTTAACTTCACATCCGCAAATTTTTTTTTTTTTATTTTGCCTAAAAACGACGTCGTTTTGCCCTGTGTTCACCATTCTCGGTGAACACGATTCTATGACATAATTTGCGCACAAACATCGGTATGCAGAGTGACAACTCACGAGTCACGATCCTCCGAGGATTCACCCACGAACCAAGCTCTTCTTTGTTAAGCTTGATTTAAAAATAAATATATATGACGTTTGTATGGTTTACGTATGCACGTGTGAAGCACATGCATGCATCCAAGGCATATTGTTTATAACTATTTTCTATTTTATTAAAATACAAAAAATTAATATTGTCTCCACTGGACCACAAGTTGATTGACTATCCCATTTGTTTAATTAACGTATTCTGATTTCTTCCTTAACATAAGCCTGCAGGCTCAGGCTGTATATGCTTGCAATCTAAGTCACTTTATTAACACCACCCATTTGATAGGATCATATTTATTTTCACATGTCCACTCTCATCCGCAACAAATTATAGTATCAAATTAAGTTTTTTTTTTTGAATGAAGTATCATATTAAGTTTTGAAATGTGTTTTTCATTAAGTTTGGAGTACTCTGAGACGTGTTTGATTCACCCAGTGCACATTTTCGGATAATAATATAACCTGCAAATTAAACTTTCCCGTAAACCAAAGTTTTTATTTTTGCTTTAACCTAATTAAATCACTTGTCTGGCTGGATATGCGTGGAATCCAAGTGTCCAACTCCATACTAATCTAAACCTTTATATATAATGGCTAAGGATTTATATATCAGCCAATAGGAGACTCAGATCAGCTCCCATTCCCCATTTCATGGAGAATTCCATTAATCCTACTGATAATGAAGGATTAGTGGAATCTTTCCCAGAAGAGAAATGGAGGGGAGATGAGCTTCTTTGCCAAATCAATGGCTTTTGGCTCATGCCTCACTTCATCCCTGGAATCAAACGAGTTCTCACTCACTTCAAACCACTCCCCACTGATATAATCCTCTCTTCTTTCCCCAAAACTGGCACTACATGGCTTAAATCTCTCCTTTACTCCATCACCAATCGCTCTTCCATACATTCTTTAGTCCAAAACAATCCCCATGAACTTATCCCCTTCCTCGAAATCCATGTCTATGGAGAATCTAAACCAACAGGCCTAGGAATCCCTGCAGATACCAATCTTGATTCTCCCAGGATCTTCAGCACACATATTCCTTATCAGTTACTAGGTACCACCCTGGAATCCTCGGGCTGTCGTGTCGTTTATGTCACGAGGAACCCGAAGGACACCCTGGTTTCGATGTGGCATTTCGTGAACAGATGGAAGGGGGTAGAGGAGGAGGAGAAGCCATGGGAGTTGGATGAAGCTGTGGAGAAATTCTGCGATGGGGTTTTCCCTTGCGGGCCTTACTATGATCATGTGTTGGGGTACAGAATGGCGAGTTTGGAGCGTCCTAGGAATGTTTTGTTTGTTACTTATGAGGAGTTGAAGAGTGACGCTAAAACTCATGTCCGGAGATTGGGTGAGTTTCTGGGTTGTCCTTTCGGAGAGGACGAGGAGGAAGTGGAGGAGGTTGTGGAGAGTTGCAGCTTTGAGGTTTTAAGTGGACATGAAGTGAACAAGTCCGAGGATTTGGCTTCATGGTTTCCTGTCCCCTACAATTCCTTCTTCAGAAAAGCATCTGTTGGTGATCATAAGAATTATCTTCGACCTGAAAGTATTCAGCGCATTGATGAACTCACCAGGGAGAAATTTCACAAGTTTGGTTTTGTTTATGGTATTTAGTTATCTATGAATTTGTCTAATATGCCAATTTGCACCCATACCTTTTGTACTATCAAGTAAAGTATTGTTATGCTTGATTATGCTGAATATAATATTGTGAAAACAAGTGTTAAAGTACCATATATACCTCCTCGGTATACGGGCAGATTGCCGACAGGAATTATTCACGAGCACTTATGGACCCAGTTAATTAATTGCCAACAGGAATTATTCCTGAGCACCTACCGACCCAGATCAACCAGCCCGACCTACCTTAAAGCGCGGACCTGGACTTAATTAGCGGCCTTGGTCCCCGGGTCTCGAAGCCTTCCGATCCCTATCTTCTTAGGTCGGAGAGGCGAGAAACCTAACCTTATTCACTCCGAAAGTAGGACAACAATCCCATTAGTCAAACCCGTCGATAGCGGCAAAAGCAAGGTCGCCAAGAACATTCGGGCATATGGGGGAATTAGCAAGGCCTCCGGTCTCTCCCTGTGCATGAGTAGCACGTATTGCACATGTCGAGCTTCCGACATGTGTTTCCCCAACTCCCCTATAAATGTACCATTAAATGCAAGGCAAAGGAACTTCTGACATCTTCTATTCACTTATATTAAGCTCGAGATCCTCTAATTCACTAAAGCAACACCTGAACTTAAATACTTAAACCAACAAGCAGACTGACTAATACCATACATGTTTTACTTGATCCAAAAAGATGATACCGTAGAAATTTCCTTTTCCTATGTATTATTAGAGGAATTTATGTATTACAAATCCTACATTACATCTACTTATTATGCAATGAAAATTCACATTCTCAATTACTTCCATTCTCATTATCTGCACAAATATCCAGTCATATATGCATGCACTGTCATAGACAGGCAAAAACAAAAGCAAAAGCAGGCCAAGAAGAGAACAGAATGAAATTTCTATGACATTTGATTGATGATATGATGTTCCAGGCTACATCCATCACTCAGTGATATGATGATCAAACCATTAAGTGGGGTGTTCCTGCAATCCAATAACTTAACTATACTTTTTTTGTTTCTTGATGATCAATTTTCGATACTCATATACTACAAATAGTACAAGGAGCAACTTGCAGGAGCTCGGTTTCCTTCAAGCGCGAGGTGAAATACCCGAGGGTAATTCATTCGAAAAAGATGTCTATGCCCACCATGGGTTCTCGCCAGTTCTGAAATCAGTCTCGACCCATGGAACGAACACTACCTTATCATCATCAATGTCGGCATGAGCCAATGCCAAGGACTGTTCCAAGAAGATAGTTATATAGTTATAAATTGTGAAATACAGAGTTGAAGTTCTTTTCTAAAGGTCATGTAACATATTCATAGAAAACTTTGGTTCACTTACCAAAGGAGCTGGTCCTCGAACGACTCTTCCTTGGTTGTTGTACTGGGATCCATGGCAAGGACAGATGAATTTGTTCTCGGCTGCGTTCCATGGCACCACGCAACCAAGGTGGGTGCAAACAGCGTTGATCCCGTAGGTTGCAAGTTGCCCGTCATTCTCGACAACAAGATAGGTGGGGTCTCCCTAGAGTTCACCATCAAATGAATTGTTAATTATCCTCATCTAAATTGAACATACACTAAGATAAAAATTGTGGGTTCGTGCCTCAGTTGAGACGATATTGACTCTTTGTGCTTTAGTAGGTTGAGAAAGTAGTTATGAACAGATACTGCATTGTAACTGAGTCAGTAGGACTCAAAAAAGAAAAAGATTGCCTGTACATATTATTGAATCGAAATGTTATGGTCAAACTAGCTTATGAGTTATGATCCATCAATACATACTCAAGTATATGTGTTCGGTGCCCCAGTGGGAATCAAACCTAAACCTTTACGTCGAGGGGTCTCTCTCTTACCCAATGGGACAAGAGATCATTGGCAACTACTAACAACCGCTAAAATGTCACCTTTAACCAACCTAGACGTAGAGACTTGTGCACTAGATTCGATGAAACTTTAAAACAATGATCTTAAAACCATCAAGAAAGCTGAAAATTTTCTCCACAAATTGACCAAGAATCGCCTACCTTCAACCCTTGGGTGAGGGTACGGTTCCCAGGTGCATGAGTCTTTAGCCACTCAGAAGCAAGGACATCATTTCCTAGGGCATCCTTAGCAACGGTACCACCACTTCCACCTCCCGACCTGCTCCCAATGTATAAGTTCATGAGGCATGGACAGGAAACCGAAAGAATATCATGTAACCACAACCCGGAAGCACCAAACAATAGAAAAAACAGAAGAGGCAAGTGATCCTGTCAAAGCCTAATGTATCGTTGACCCTTAGATAAATTTACATATACATGTCTTTCTTAATTGTTCTTATTCCTTTTCTTCTCAATTCAGCTCATTGTTAACAAGGCATACTATAAACTAGCAGAACATACTAAGAATTATAAATAAGGACGATAGAGTCACAAATTCACATATGACAAGCAGAGGATACATGCAATACTCTGTCAATTCAACATTATAATGTTCTAAAGTCGGTCAAATACAAGTATAACCATAGTATACTGGGTCAACCTCAGCCAAGTTGGTCGGGCTGTTTAGCTTGTTAACCATAAGTTTACAAGTTCGACTCCTAATGGGAAAGGTTCTTGATTTTAGCTGGTCAGGCCTAGGCTGGTTTACGTTTCTTGTTAACCATAAGTTTACAAGTTCGACTCCTAATGGGAAAGGTTCTTGATTTTAGCTGGTCAGGCCTAGGCTGGTTTACGTTTCTTGTGATCCTTTGCTGGCTAGGACCATAAGGCGGGTTTTAGAAACAAGAAAGTTGTTAGATACCCCATTAGATATAGGCCTTGTTTGGTAAAATAGTTAGTTTATCGGCCAATTTTGACTTATCTGACCACTATTAGCTGTTTGACTTGGTTAAACAATGAATATGGGTGTCTGATTAATTAGCTTTTTGTAATAATTTAATGCTAAAATTCAAAAAGTTGCTCAAAGTAGCTGTTCCCATCAACTTTTTGAGAAAGTCATTTTGCAAACACTTTTCTACAATCACCTAATGTTATCGACTAGTCAAACCCACTAAACCAATCAGCTACCAGCTATTTACCAAACAATCCATCATTATATTCAAAGACATCTAAGAATGCAATAAACAAGAGCTTCAAACAAAGTACACAATCTGATTCCATGAACTACTGAAAAATCTGATCTTTACAATCTCAAAACTCATAATCCAGGAACAAATTTGAACTAACCCCATCAATCCAACATAACAATAGTGAAGGCAAGAAAAGGGCAATAGAAAAAAAGAAAAAGAACTCACCCAGGAGGTACAAAGAAGGCTGCATAAGGTACCAACATGGCAGAAGAGGGGAGAGAAAGGGCACCCAAGAGAAGCAAGTTCATGAGCTGCCTCTTACCCATATCCGGCACCCGATCGTCGGCCGGAATACTGGTGGCCATGCACGTGACCCTCAACCCCTTCTTCCTCCCGCCGGCGCCGCTCCTCACGGATTTCACCATCAACGCTTGGGAGCCGCCGGAGCACATGCCATTCCTGCTCGAGCATAGCTGAACAAATTCCACAAACAAACAGAAAAAAAATTAAAAAATCAAAGAATTCCGGAGTGAAATTGAAGCCTCAGAGAGAGAGAGATGGAGAAGAAGAGGTGAAGGGAGTGATGGGTTCACCTGAGAAGGAGTGACGGGTGAGAGTGTGGAAGAAGCCATGAATTTTTGCGCGATTTTGTTTTGCTGATAGTGTAGAAGAAAAAATGGAGGGAGGGTAGGAGAGGAGATTTGATGACAAGGATGAAATGATTGGATAAGGTAAGGTAGTGTTCGGTTGAGCCACACGTTTGGATATCATGGAGAGTAGCCATTGTTAGGGAAATTTTGTGGTCTTCTTTTTGAATGGATTAAGATTTATATACCACCAAGACATGATATACAACATACGGACTAGGGAGTAACACATAACACTACTTTCTTTTCTTTAACTTGTAAACTTGATAATTTTTATTTATTTTTTATTAAATGACTAGTGTAAATTCGAAATTACTATCCTAGAGTGTATACATAATAAATTTTGCTTTCTGTTCTAGTTTGCAATACATGATAGTAAAAAAAAAAAAAAAAAAAAAATGTTCGCACGAGCTTAACTCACTAGTTCAGTAAGCAGTATTTAGGAGAAGAAATCAATGTTCGAATCTCCGCAGCGGTAATGTGGGGATTATACCCAAAGTGAACAGATTCCTTGTACGCACCAACATTTGACCCTGTCTATTGAGTCACCGAACCATGCTTTGCCGGAGCGATGTGACAACCCAAAAATAATTTTTCTAAAGCCTATTTTACAAATTCCAAAATAGCTATTTCCACTCTTCAAAATTTTTTATTTCGAAAACGATGTTTGAATTAAATATTTAAATCGAGTTTTTAAATAAATTCAACACCAAGATTTATCCTATTTCAAAATTCTAAGTTTTGGGTACATTTATGTACCAAGTTTTGGTTTCAAAAAAAAAATGTACCAAGTTTTGACCCAAAAAGTCAAAAATTCAACCTTTTTTTTTTTTTTTTTTTTTAATTTTTTTTTTTTTAGAGAATGAGAGCTTTAATTTGGAGAACAATCAAATAAACTTTGGTGTAATATTTATTACCCACAAATAAAATGATTGTTTTGAACAAGATTCATTTATACTATAATAATAATACATTTATGAAAAGGGGAAAAAAATAAAAATAAAAGAAATAATCATTCATAAAACTGTTTTTTTTTTCTTTTTTTCTTTTTTTACAATTATGGTGATTATCGTTTTTAATTAAGTATTTAGATTTTACAAAGTTGTAAATAATTATTTTTAATGATAATTATAATTAATTTCCACTACATTATTTTTACATTTATAAACTTAGAATTACCCATTTAAATAAATAAATTCAACATTCAATTACTTAGGCATGAACATGTTCCATATAATCTTGCATTGATATACTTTGAAGTATTTATTTAAAAATAAATATTGG